TCTATCCCTTCAGCTGTTCTTCCACATGTACAGTATCAGAGAGGGACCAGATAACATGCAGAAATGTTTGGTTTTACCCATTTGCAGATGAAATCAGGCTGCAATGGGTGCCAGTCGGAGGGATATCCGTGAGGGCGAGCAGCCCTGGGGCCGAACAACCTTTCCTGCAAGGCCCTGCTCCCTTATCTGATTCCAACAGACGGGGGCGAGATGATGGCCATGCCAGCCAGTGCCTTTGATTTTTTAAGTATATCCCTCTGCTTTCACACTGCTTTATTGATCGGCGACAGATCTCATTGTGTTCCTCTGCTAGAAGACCGCTTCGAGAATGCTCTATTTGTAACGTGATCACCTAGATGAGGATGGCAGAGAGGTGGACAGACACTAATCCTCTTTTTTCCCCCAGTCCCCAGCATCGTCTGTGGTGATTCTTGTGGATCACCCCTGTCGAGTTTCTCATCGCCTGAGGCACAGATGACTCGCCTCTCCCTGACATTTTTTTTTCTTTTAAATGGGGAGGGGTCAGGGTATAAATCTCACTTAAGCGTTTTATGAAGAACAACAGCTTAGGCTGCTGACGTAGAGTTGTAGTCAAGTTTGACACCAACCACATCACCAACATCAACCAACAGACAAGCCTTTCTCAAGACTGGTTATTCACCCATTTGCAATAGGGTTAAATTAAATTACACACATACTACGAAAGCAGACTGGTCGATGCTTACTGTGTTTCTATGGGACCTTTCAGCAGCATCGATTTTCAGTTCATTCATGATTGTTTTTGACCACAAGCTAAATGTATTATGCTCATCGACCTCTGTGGACCTGACACATTCCTCTGTGTTGAACAGCACAACGCAACTGTACAAAGTAGGGAGCATCTGCCTCGTCATTCCACCCAGATGGCAGCAGAAAGTATGTAAATTGGTTCATTAACCTTACAGTGCTTTAACCAGTGGGCCATGCAAAGGGCTCATTCCATCCGGGTTTTCTTGAATTTTATTAACGCCCATTAATAGCATCGGGAAACTTTCGCTAATGGCCTGAGGTGGTTCGCTGTGGTGTTATCAAACACTGTAGTAATTATACATGACATCCCTCTGATTAACATTCCCGTGATTATTGCACCATGTCAGATCATCTTTTTTTCCCCAGGTTTAAAGACCGTCATCCATTTTCTTGGATGAAAAATATTTCAAAAGGGGAAAAAAAGAGACGAGGCCCGATATTATAACAACACTCGCCCACCCCAACAAGCAGGCTTGGATCTTCAATCCCTAACAATAGAAAGGCATGAAGAAAAAGAAGCAGGGGGGTGGAAATGTGAAAAGGATCTGCATTTTCATACAGCGTTTCCCCCCAGTGCTTGCAGAGTGTGTGAAAAATTAGCTTGCAGTGTGTGACTGTGTGTGAACTGCTAGCCATGCAGGCTTGCACCTGGAGCAGGGAGGAGCATGCAAGGGGTCAAGGGTCACCTCGCGGGCTAAACAGGATTGGAGTTCTCCCTCTTCCTAAGAAGGCCAGATGACCCCTGCGGCTGCATCGGACAACATGGGCCTTTCACACACCCCTTCCTTCCCTTTCCTTCTCTCCTTCGTCTCTCGTTCACCTCCTTTTCTTTTCTCCTTTGGAAAGGCGCAGTAATCCATAATCCACTCAACTATCAGCGGCTCAATTATCCCTCCCATTCGCCCATTTTCTCCCCTCAGATGGAGATTCAAAAACAATTAACCTCTTCACGGCTGGGGACTTTTCCCAGGAAAGGGCACGGTGGTAATTGAATGACTCCGCCATTTACATTCCTGACCATGACTTCACTCCTTCACGCATAAATCTGGTTACCGAAAATCCTAATCTGTGGCTTTGTGATTGTCCAATGTCATTATCATGGATGTTGTATTATCACACTATGAAGACAGTATTTTACTTCAAGCGGGATTTAACGGGACAATTTGTTAATGTTTACATAACACCCCTTTGACCTACTTAAACCTTAACAGATTTACATAATTTGTACTCAAACATGTTGACAGATTAGTGATTTTGAGAATTATGCCTTCACAGAACCTGAAATAATCATTTTCCTGTCAAACGCAGTAGACAGTGCTAACCTGTAAACTGGTACAACTGGACTATTTCACACCAAGTGTCTATAAGCTACGGCGCATCCCCCCACATCCTCAGCCTTCAATAAAATGTTCTCTTCTCCCCCTTCGTTATGGAGGGGCCTCCTATTCATCTCCAGGTAGAAAGCCTCAAAGTGTAGGAGGGAAGAACAGCTTGTTGCACCCATTGAGCTTTTTATTACTTCCCCCTTCAAAGGGTGGTGGCAGAGGAAGAGACATCCTCAATCTCCTTGATGCCATGATACACAGAGTCAGCTTTCAGAAAACACACACAAACAAGTGGAAGGACTTCGGCTGAAGCTCTGTGCAAATTTTTGCCAACACTTGTTCTTCAAAACATCCTATCTGAGAAGATTACATGGTTGAGGGTACAGAGAGAGCCCATTCCAGCTGTTAGGGGATAATCTCCTAACAAACAAGTTTATCAAAAATGGACATTGTTGAGAAAAACATGTTCAGGCTTATTCAACTAGAAACAGAAAAACATTACATACAACTTTACTCGTTCTGAATTGTGTTATGAAGCAAACACGTCGAACAAAGACTCCACTCCTACCATCCATTTTCAATAAAGCAAGCAAGCTTATTGGTATCTAGCTAACCCAGCAGCAGCCAAATGATGCAATCCCTAACCAACACACATCGAAAAAACAAAGACGTGCACTCCTCAAAAGGAAGACACTCTTGTAGACGAAATTGTCTTTCAAAGACATACACATATCAACGCATTTTTACCAAATCCCACCTTTAATTAGTGTTTTGTATTTCCTTTTGCTCGGCTTCAGAAGCCACCTCGGCTTAAGCACCAACTCATAGACGCCCACCGTCAGCATCAAGGTGCGACACAGAGCGTCTGAGGGCCTCATTTAAAACCTCCAGTTCACTAAAACTGGAATCTTCAAGCAATTTATTTTTGAAGCTCAAAAGATTCAACTCGCGTTCATCATTAATATGATAATGTTGTTTTATTGACCCGAATCCTTTTGAATTCCAAGATCAAGACTGACACACTGGAAAACATAAAACAGGGAAAACATTAAGCTTCAGAGCCTCCTGTATGTGGCTGAGAAAAATTTATTAACTATGATATAGTAATTAATGTGATGCTTTGCAAAAGATTCAAGTAACACAGTATATAAGCAAATTGAACAAATTCGAAAAAATTTAATAACTACAGGCACCACGGCCATACCTATAATCTTGCAGACGTACATCTGAACAGCATAGCTGAAATCTCACTCTCACACACACACACACACACACACACACACACACACACACACAGAAGAAGTCTTTGATGTTTCCTCATGAGTGTGTGTATTGCAGCTGTGTGAGTCACCCACACTCCATCCAAGATACGTATAGGCTACACAGCGGCAGCAACAGTAGCAGTAGCGATAAAACTGCAACCTTCTACCACACACACACACACACACACACACACACACACACACACAAACTACCATACAAACTCAAAAACAACATTGCGTGTCTTGATTGTGAATGGAGAAGGGGGAAAGAGGCAGAGGCACCAGGAGGGCCAGCCAGGCCAGCAGGAGGACAAAAAAAAAAAGAAGGAGAAGAAAACCTAAAACAACCGGTTGTACTCCAGACAGACTGGAACTTTTCTTGATCATTATGTCTAGCATTCAGGTGTCTGGGCTTGGTAGTTAGGTTGAGGGTGATGGGGGGGGTTGAGGGGGGTTGAGTGTAGATAACACAGCAGCCAGACAAAGAGGGAATAAGAGGGCTGCCTACAGTACATACCACCAGCATCAAGGAAGGGAGGGTGGGAGGCAAGGGAGGGAGCCACAAGAAGAAAAAAGGAGGGTTATAAAATTTTGATTAGAAAATCCTTTGCTGAAGTGACTTTCTGTATCGTTTGCGTTTTCTTTTCTTCTTTTTTTTTGTCAGTACCCCTCCCTTCTCACTCCTCCAGAGCGCCGCCTCAGAGAATGGGGCAGACAGATTTTATAGGTCCTAATTAAAGCCATCTGAAGTCTTTCAAAACATCAAATGGCCCCGGTCCCCGCTCTTTCCCTCTGATTGTGCAGAAATCACGGAAAATCAGAGGGAACCCATTTTTGCTTTGACTCTCAAATGTACATGTTTTACCCCCAGCCTCACCCCTGACCCCCACTACCCCCCAATTTCCAATCAATAAAAGGGTTCAGTGAACGACATGACCTCATAGAGTGTCTGTCAAATTCACTGGAATTTGACATAAATGCTTGTTTGGTGGAGAAACTCATGTCTGAAGAAAGAAAAAAAAGGCTGGCCTCTAAACTTAAGGGACGTTTTTTTTTTTTTTTTTTTGTGTCGTATCCTGCATTGGAAATGTCACATAAGGTTACTGAAGATCCACCCTTATCCTGCCTGGCGGGTTGAAGTGAAGTGCAGCCCTGTTTTAGTGCGCTTCAAGTACTCCATTTTTTTCTCTCCCTTGTCCCCCCCTAATTGTCCTCATTGAGCCGTGTGGACCAGTTGCACAGCCTGTCTGGCTGGGGTCAGCGAGTTTACCGTGTGCTTTTTATCTATATTTCATGCTATGGCGCTGCGCGCTGACAGCCACACATCCACCATGAGAAAATTCAGAGACGCACAAGGAATGCCGAAAGGGCAAAATGAAGATCATTCAAGCATCAAGTCACATTTTCTATAGCAATAAAATACAATAAAGCGTCGTTTAATTTTCCTTTGAATGTAAACAAAAATGACAGAAAGCACACGGCGCAAAAGTGACCTATGCAGTCATAAATTGGAAACTGAAGTGGAGTACAAATAGACGATAAATATAACTACTACTTTCCGGATTGGTAGCAATTAAATAAGCGATTATAAGAGTGAAAAAAAAATAAAACGTCGCCTACTTACGATTCATTTCAATAACTTCTGGGCGTTATTGTCTCGCCCCTGCGCCTCTCCGGTCGTTTGGAGACGGAAAAAAGTCTGTTCCTCCGGCGAAGCAGGGCCATTCTCATCGAGGGGATTGTCAGGCTTCATCTGATGGCGATAAAGTTTGCATAAGATAACACCTGGTTAATTCTGCCGAGGACAGTGGACGTCCGATTCCGCCGATGTCAGGTCTTCAGTGATGCCTGCACTCGCCGGGATTGAGCGCTGTGAGGAGAGGGAGCGCACAGAAAGGCGTCATGTGAGCCGGGGAGAGGTGCGCCATTGGCCAGCCGGGGATAAGTATGATAAGGCTGCTCTGTGCGCCATTGGCCCACGACGGGAGCGGAGGCGCCTCCTCACTTGGCTGTGCGCAAGAATGTGAGTGCGGCTCACTGTTCATAATTTTCAGCAACCAGAGGGGGGGTTGGTGGCGGGGGGGGGGGGGCTGGGGGGACAGTAAGTAACAAATTGTTCCAAAGATCTGTTTTTTTGTCATCGACGCGCAGAGTTACACGGAGGGCAGCGGGGAGAAATACACGTTTTCTTTCCTCTCAGTTAAAAAGAGGACTGAATGAAAATGTCTGGTGAGTCCACACATCAACTTCTGATTGTCTGTCAGCTTGAAGATGTGGACACTTTAATCTCAATGAGGCTAAATGTAATCTTGACGTCTTACATCTAAAAAAGACAGCAAATAACTGTATCCATTAAGGTGGCAGTTTAACACATTGGCCAGAAAATAATATGTTGTCAGTGTACCCTTAAATGTAGTCGATATGAGACTTTTAAACTGGTTTGTTTTTCAGTTGATACTGCACTGATGAACATGTTTTGTGTGAAACATAGTTTAGTTACCTCAACACACATGCATATGTAATTTTAATGTGATGTAACGTACATGTTAGAGCAGAAAGAAATCATCTTATAGTTTGATTTGTTGCACTGTGTTCCTGGATAATTTGCTGGATAATGAACAGATGCAGGGGGGTCAGGAATTGTATTAATATGATACTTAACAAAGCAATTACCACGGCAAGGAACAGGATCATGTCATTTTCACATGCTGAAGCTAAAAACTGATTAAAAAAAGAAAAAGGAAATCACCGTCCACAAAACACGAAACACGAAACACTATAATGACACTACTATAACAGTAAATAGAGTCACGATCCCGGTGCTTTCCTACCATATTGTAATTTGTGGCGCAAAGACCTAAACCAACCTTTACAATAATTTTTTTTATCCTAATAAGCTCTGAAGCTAATTCATTATTTAGGAGACACAGAGCTAATTGAAAGGAAGGGATACAATCCATAGGTGCTGTGGTGGGAGGTTACAGCGAGAAGATCTCTTGATATTCTCTTTTACATGTATGGAAACAAAGGAAGCTTGATATGTTTTACATATTTATGCTGTTCTACCCTGTTCTGTATTTCCACATTGATTTTCTACACAGTTGGACTTCACAGAGGGCAACAGCACATAAAAGAACATCCTCTCTCTGTCTCTTTCTGGTTCTCTGGAGTGTGGAAGCAGAGGAACTCAAGGTTCTGTATGGGTGGGAAATAGAGCGCATGTAATCTGAAGCGCGCATCTTCCCTAGCTCAGGCTGCGGCATTAAATCAATATTCCGCAAAGCTTTCTCTTGTTTTCACATTCACTTGACTGCTGCCGTGATGCGCCGCAAGGGTCGAGCAGCCGCTCCCCGATTTTTGTGGCACTTGCCCCCCTCCCTCTTCCTCCTCCTCCTCCTCCTCCTCCTCCCCCTTCACTTCACTTCACTTCACTTCACGGCAGACACCCTCATTTGGATGGCTCCAAGGCGATGCGCCCATTCCATTTGTCTTGTGCGTTAACGGGAGGCGGCAGGAATAAGGCAAAGCGTTATCTCGACACAAAACATTATCTTCGCTTCGCTCCTCCAACACCGTGAAACAATGATTATTAACTGCTTGAGGAGCATGTTCAGGGGTTTTCGAGGCTTGTCGCCACACTTGACACAACATGAAATATATTTCACAACACACCCCTGAACTCGATTTTTGAATTTTCTTGACTCAAGACAATGCTTCCCCTTTTCTCGTCACTTGTGAGCACTTTCAGTACTGGCTTGTTTGTCGCCCCGAGGGAGTATGGCTAACGGCATTATGACTGGACGTGTGACAGTAGCGTTTTTACCAGAAACCAACCTAGCACTTCCTTTTTAATGTTTAAAAGCCTGTCGTGCTGCATCATCCCGGTGTAAGATACTGGTTATGCATTCATACACACACACGCATTCACTCACACCCCATCGTTATGAAAGTAAAACCTTGCCTCTGCAAAATGGGTCATACACTGCAGTCACTTTATCTCAGCAAATGTATTGTGCCTGTGTGAGTGGTAGACATGCGCATGTGTGATTACACATCAAAGGCAAGACTCCAATATTAGAGCATGGGTGTCTTCGCTGAAACAGGACTTACAAGTCTAACCATTCAATGTTTTTCAGGGGTTGCGAGTCTGCACGATATAGTTAGCCCCGAGAGCCGAAACGTCAGTCTCTCTTTAATGTCTTTCAACAGCCCGGAGGAAAGTGCTCTCGCTCTAAAATAAACTCCAGTCGCGTCATTTTCATTCTACCGCAGTGCCCTGTATGCCTTATACGTCAGCGATTTCAAGCAAACATTTGAACACATAGGATTCGCTCCAAACACAGAAAAACCATTCACCCATGGTTCGTATACAAAGATACACAGACAGGCTAATAGGTAGGCACACACACACTTGCAGATATATATCCACTGTGGAGTGATTTTGAGCAGTGAGGTTCAAAGCCGTGCCAGTCAAAGAGGGAAGACAGCTCTGTGCCGCCGTCTTATAGACCCATCACTGTGCAAGCTAATCTGCGGCGCGTTCCAGCCCTATATTTAGACCAATGTTTTGTGAACACTTAGCATAATTCGCTGAAACGAAAGGAGCTTTTCGAAGCTCTTAACCTCGTCTCTTTAAAATTCATTTGGAGTTTTTCCGCTGCGCATTCCAAAAACACCTGTTCTCGCCTTTGTCGTCCTATGAAATACTCTCCATTTCAATGAGGAAATAGTTTGTTATGAATGGAGATTATGGCGCAGTGTGACTGTGAGAACATGCTGGATGTGAGGAGGTGGTTGATTCTCTCAGCTGCTCATGAGAGAATTGCTATTATCTGAAATAAGTTCAAAAAACAGGCTGTGAATTTAGGTCTATAAAGTGCCCTCAGTGTCCCATACAGCATCACCCAATTATCTCTGTATCTGATCAGGCCTCTCTATCTGTATCTGATCTTCATTACACTCATCTCCATCATCGCATGATTTAACATCACATCCCACTGATCATGTCCATATGAATTTAAAGGAAGCAAATATTCCTGGAAATAACACTACACCTGGTAATAGTTTACTCCCATTTATTATTATCCAGGGAGTACAGCCGGTTTAAGTCCATGTGTAAAAGCGTGTGTGAGTGTGCATGAATGTGTGTGTGAGTACCAAATGCTCTGATCTGGTCCAGGTGGGCCAGAGGGAGTTGGTCATACTAAAAGCCTTTACCTCCATCTGCTGTGTGGCCTGCACAAACACCCACATTTACACACAAACACACAGACAAGATGGACTGTCTGGTTCAAAAGCCTGTCCCTTAAGCATTAAACGCTATACGCTTTGGCCACAGAAACATGCCACACTGGGGGCCTGCATGGCATCTGCCTCCCAGCTCCCGGAGCCAAGGCATTGGGCTGAGGGAGGGGCCTGGGGCCGAGATAAGCTCTTCCTCCCCTGGTCACCGCTACGCCGTGGGGACCGGACAGGCCTGGAGCCTCAGCTGAGCAGCGCTGATAATATCCACATGAGTGTACGTGTGTGTGTAGTTGGATGGATGGGTGTGTGTTGAGAAGGAGAGGCTCGGTTTAGGTGATGTTTGTGTGTGTGTGTGTGTGTGTGTGTGTGTGTGTGTGTGGGTGGGGTGGGATGGGAGCATGCAGGGATGCGGACACTCGCATGTTTGCACAAATAGTCAAATATCACAACTAAGACAAAAATGCTTGTCCCTGAAGTCTGAAAAGTTGCAGTGCAGTTTGGTGCCAAATGTTCACAGAAGTGTGTGCAGACACTGTATGTTTCCTCATGAGAAATGCCTTTGCTCTCAGGAATCAGAAATGGCACAACACAAAAAAACTAAACTAAATTGCAATTCTGCAAAAAAGTCTGTGTGAATAACTAATTTAATCTAGAACTGAACTCTGACATCTTGACTTTCCTTAAAATGATTTTTCCGGTAAATAGCAAGTAAGTAACCCTGTTTAAAAAAAATCATCTTAAATTGAGTGACATTATGTTAATTCTCTTATCTGTCTCATTTCACTGTTGATATTCTCACAGAAAACCTGCACAAGAAACAAATGGAATTATCCAATTTGCAGATTTCTGTAGTTCTTTTAAGGAAATACAATTAAAATAAAGTATGAAAGTGTGCAACCCCTGTTAGGAAGGGAAAGCCAACATGTGTAATAAGTACAGAACATTACACTCACTACATTTGACAATGACTTGAAACAATGCTGCTTTCACAATAGTGCTCATTGTATTTTTTTTCATTCTCTGTATATTATTTTATGGACCCTCATTTGCGGTGTAAGATTAATTGTCGTGCTGCTAACAGCAAATCAATCTGTTCTTGTTCACTCGCTCTAATTCATTGTTTATTTAACATGAGTGTAATCTAGTCCTTTGTCAAATGACAGAAAATGGTCCTTCTTTGTTCAGCAGCACTGACCTTATCATTTTAACTTGTCATATTGGAATACTCATTTACTCATCATGTTAAGAGTTGCCTCACGTAACGAGCCAGCGAGGCAAATTAAATTAATTCTGGGGTACTTTTAATCGCGTTGATGTTTCAAATAACAATACATGACAAAAAGGTCTGGATGATGATGGAAGCACTAATTGGTTGAAAGATGTTTTTGAGATGGGAGGAATAATCCTTAATATTTAAATATAATGATATTATAATATTGCGGTAGATGAGGACGAAGAGATGGTCTTATGTACTATATAATATTTAACAGTATGTTTAACCACCACACCAAATGAGCAGTATTGTGTCATATATTACTATCAGCTATCATAATTTTGAGAAGTACATCTAATAATTAACCATAAATAATTAAAGTCGTTTCTCAGCGGTAGTAGAAGTAGCTTCTACACTGCATTG